AAGCAAGAGGACTCTTTTTTCCTCCATAGCTTACCTGTCTAATATCAATCTGTCAGGAGATAGTGACAGAGTGAACAAATATGTTAAAAATATATTTTTAGAAAAGTTACATACTGCACCTTTAATCTCAGAGGAAAAATCACAACAAAACCAGTTTGACATTTGATCAGTAATGTCATCTAAACCTTTGACAAAATGTAATAAACATACTTGGTATTTAAATTCTGCTGTACAGGATTAAAATAAGGGGTTTTAGATTTAAACAGCTGTTATTGAGCAAATACTTGTTTCAGCTACTGTTTTTTCTTGGCAATAATAGGAAAAAAAAGTAGCCAAAATTTATTAGCATGACTAGAATTTTATTTCATGTTAATCTATTAAGCTGTTTAAATATTGCAGATTTTTTTTAATTCTAACCATTTACAGTGAGACACTTCCTTTAAACATGATGCTGCCTAAATGGATACAATTGAAGGATTTCTCTTGAAATAAATGAGTTCTGATTTTTGTTCATGGCCTCAACAGAACAACATTGCTTGGTTTAGTGCTTCGCAAACATTTATATTTAAATGCACCAACACAGCAAATACCTACAGAGCAGGTTTGAAACTTTGTAGCCATGCTAATGTTTTCTTCACAGCTTCTGTTGCAAAGCCAAAACATGCATTCTGACCAATGAAAACACTACAAATAGACCCAAAGGACCCTCATTGGACTCATTAATACAACATTCTCCTGTTTTCTACTCTTTTGACTTCAATTACACACCTGTACAAACGAGTTTTCACTCAGTGCTTTAAATTTGTGCAGAGGACAAACTCCAGTCATGTGCAACCCCCTACACTAGAGAAGTGGTTTAAAAAAGACGAAAAAGTGAATCCAGGCTACAGACCACTAATATATACTTATCCAAAGTATTAAAGGGATTGTTGTATTTTTTTAATTGGGGTTAAATATTCAAAAGCAATCAATGTCTTACCTGCAGAAGACAAAAGTCAAGCTAGTTCAATAGACAATTTTGTAGTTAAAAATTGGTACAAATGCACGAAGCAGGCCAAGCGCGCACGTTTATTAGGAACACGCTGGAGGCAGCTGTGGTAACGCCACTGGAATGAAACAAATTCAACCGGTAAATCTGCACTGCTCTACAGGCCCTATATATTTGCCCTGAACTGATTGGTGTCAACTTTCATTTAGGAGCATAAATGAGATTTTTCAGAAATATCTAAGCTATAAATCTGCTTTTTGAGCTTGTTGAATTTGCACATTTCCAGTGGTGTTTTCATAGCAACTTCAGTGTTTTACCAGTTGACCTGTGCTGAAAGAGTTAGGTTCTGTATGCGCACAAAAATTATTTAATGTATATAAAGTGTTACAGTGAAGAAATACAAAATAGTGTTTGAACTATATGATGTTTTGTAATGTTTCAAATATTGTAGATGGAATGAAAACAAATCTGTCACGCATCACATGAATTATTTTGGTTTTGCCATCACAAACAGTGTTCTGACCAACTATTGCAGGTAAGACACTATCAGCTTACAAATATGCCAAAAACTTAACTCCTCCATGGACCTGGGGTGCAGCAGACCTCAGCCAAACGAACCTTAGTAGGGTTGTTAGTTGTGTAAAGTGATCTAGCCTTGTAGGACTTAGTAAGTAGCAGGTGATCAGGGCTAAAATGTGTCAGTGCTTCTTCTTTTGTTCCTGTAGAGTGTGCTGTAGCTCTCTTAGATTCTCAGACAAGAGCTCAACCTCGTCGAGACGCCCGCTGAGCTTCGCATCGAAGATGTAAGCCCGAATGTTGTCGATCTGCTGCAGCAGCAGCTCCTCCTCTATCATGTCCACATCAGGCAGAACCTCGTCATCGTCCTCCATGTCAAAGGGGTTGGTCGAGACCTCTGGAGAATTCCCAGAGGCCTCCATGAAGGGGTTCCCTGCACTGCTGTCGTCCTCCTCGAAGGGGTTCCCAGCTGCCACAGTGTCAGCCTGTTGATCATTTTCTCCATCTGCTTCTTCTTCGTCAAAGGGGTTGTACTCTTTCTTCCCATTAGCTACATCCTTGTGCTCCTTCTTGATGTCTTCAAAGAAGGGATTGGATGGATCTTCCTCAATGGGAGTGGCGTCCTCGTCGTCGAACGGGTTAAAGGAGTTGTTGCTCTGGCCTTCACTGCTAGGTGGGGTTATGTGTCCTCCCAAGCTTCTTAATCTAGGGGGAGACTCCTCCTGGGATGTGAGAGTGGGGTGCAACCTTAAAGCTGATGGACTCCCGTCAGCCTTACGAATCAGGACCTCTGCTGCTGTGTTCTCCAGCTGGTATCCCCCTGTCGGGCTCATATCCAGAGACGGCTCGCAGGTGAATGACAGCTGGGTGGAGCCCCAGTGCTCGCTCTGCTCCCTCTCCTGGGCCTCCAGACGCTGAAGCTCCTCCTGCTGTAAGCTGTCCTCCTCAGCCTGCTGCTTGGAGAGGGCAATGGCGAGGCTGGTCTGCTGCTGGTCGTACTCTTCCTGCAGCTGTCGTAAGTTCTCCTCCAACATAGCCACCTCGTCTGTTCTTTGCGCCTCGCGAGCCTGACGAAGGAAGGACTGAATGTTTTCAATCTGCTGCAGGAGGGGGTCCTCCAGCTCGCGGCGTATGTGAGCAGAGTCTGCAGAGGGCAGCCAACCTCCAGCTTTGGTCATACGTGGTTCTCTGGGAGCCTGGGGCAGCTCTCCGTTGGCTGGTGGACGACTCTTCTCAGTCTCTTGCCTCCTCTTCAAATACTCCTGGGATGCCTTTAGTGAAGGAGACATTTGAAGCACAAACATTTAGCAACTTGTTCGTCCAGGGAACAGAAAGAAAATGTGTGGTTATACATTCTCACCAGTCTCTCTTGTTGGAGTCTTCTCTCTTGCTCCTGTTTTCTCTTTTCTTTCAACGCTTCGTATTTCTCTTTAGTGGGTAAAAACATCAAACCCAACAGCTTCTCCTGAACCAGTGAGGACAAGAAGGATTGATTTAGTTATCTAAAAGGAGTAAGCATTCTTTCTCCATCAAATACAAATAAAATCCTCACAAAGAAGACTTACAAATACAGCTTAGCATTATGGCCACTCTCAAACTTGAAGCAGATATTATTTTACCTCCCAAACTTTAACCAGTCAGGCCAAAGATAAAGAAATACTGCAGGCGTCTAAAACCAGGATGCAGGCAAAAAAATCTTCTGCATCACAGGGATTGTTAATGGTGGATTTTAACACCAGGTAAACAACTCATCTTAAATCAGTGATTCCCACACGTTTTAGCCTCTGACTCCTAAAATAATGCTAAAAACTCGTGACCCCGAACATCTTTGGTTGAACTACACTAAGTCGATAAAGTAAATAAAACGCAGAAACACTACAACTTAAATAGCTTAAACCTGTGTCATATTACTTTTCATTAATGACCATTGTTTTAACCTTTTATAACACAGTAAACATACGCCACTAATATTATTCTTTGTTTGCTTGGTGGTTAGGGACCCACAGTGGGGTCACAACCCCAGCTTTGCAAACCACTGCCTTAAACCAAGAAAAATATATATGTATCCTTTAATAATTGTTGTGATCCCCAATTGTTTTTTCTTTTGTCTTTAAATAAAAACTATCCATGTAGCCTCCAATTTACACTGCGTCCGCTTCGTGTACGCGGATCCACAAAAATTAGATTCGATCCTATTTTTGCCAGACGGCGGAGCAGGTGCTGAGTCAATCTGCAGAGATCACAACGTATGGGACAAATCTTGTGCCAGCAGGAAATGAATGTGAATTGCGCAGATTGAATCTGAATGTGCATAATTTGTAATTGAATACATTGGTCTGAAAATATATTTCACTAAATTGAAACTTAATGATTTGAAACTGAATTTAAAGTTTTGAATTTGAATTAATTTGCTTTGAAACTGTATTTTGGTTATTAAAAATTCAGTTTGACTACTTTCAGTTTCAGTTCCAAAATTCGAATTTCTGTGTCACACATCCTGGTCCTCGAGAAATCCAGCCAGAGTAATCAAACACAGATCCACAGATTTACGTTTCACTTTGGTGAAGCTTCCCTTCTGTTTGTAACAGAGTTGATGTAATCCACCGTAAAAGTGAGAAAAAGCAGACAGTTATTTTACGACAATGATTAATTTTACCTATATGTTGAAAACACATTTACATCACATCAAGCATCACATATTGATCAGATGCTGCTGGCTGATCCATGATGTGATGTAAATGTAACATTTTCTACATATAAGCACAACATCCGTATTTTCTAAATAATTCACCAAAGGCAGACCACATTTAGTCAACATCCTAGCTATATTAACAAATATATGGGTATACATACATGCTATCAAAATGTATCACTCTGTTTTGAAAGCAAATTGCGATTTGCAAAAAAAAAAAAAACAACTAAACATGAAGCGTGCAGCAAATACACAAAACATGTGGATTTTATTTTGAAATATGGATAAAAAACACACAACAGCAATGCAGTCTTAACTGTTTTTTGCAGTCCGTTTTCCACAGACTTAATTAATCTGGTCTGACGTCCACATTTATCACTTTATTGCACAATCTTGCACCTCCTGTTTCTCAGAGCACCTCTGTGCTTCACACTGGAGCAGAGCCGCACACAGTGTGAATTGGAATGGAAACAAATGACGGCTAACTGTGCAGCGCAGTGGAACCAAAAGCCATATAAATTGGAAGTAATACTAAATATTGTAGGGATAAGTTTTTTTTTTTTTTTTTTTTTTAAATGAAATGCGGTCTTAACTTGGCCTCACCTGGACAAATAGTGTTGCTGTGTGGCGGATCATCCTCTGTAGCTGAAGCGCTTTTGGATGTGGAGGTGGGTCATTTTTAACTCCAAGTGTTAAAATCTTTTTACTAAGATTAAAAAAAAAAAACCTCAGCTGAATGACAGAATACTACGTGTTTTGTTTAATGTTAAATATTAGCCATAACTAGCACGTACCTTAGAGCATCAATTAGTTCGTAGTATTTCTGGACTTCCAGTCTCAATCCAGCTGCTGTGTCGAGATTATAAGTGGTTTCTCCGGCACTTTAAAATAAAGCAGTGAAGCATTATCTCTTAGATTAGGAATAAAAGCACAGTGAGATCATAAATGGTTACCTAAATACTTGTTAATGTTGCTTACTTGAGAGACTCAGCCATTCGAATATACTCTGGAGCCTTTTCTTCCACTTTCTCCATGCACATCCTCAGCCTCTGACAGGAAACCCCAACAGGAAAACAGGGAATGACAGGAAGGACACAACTTTGTAAACAAACAGACAGACAGCAGCTGACCTGCTATTGTGATAGAAGCGATTGGTAAACAAACCTCATAAAGTTTCACAATGTCAGGAACATGGTCTTTCTCTTCTAACTTCTGCTGTCTCTTCAGCAGCGTGTCCATACAGTGACGACAGCAGCGGATCTTCTCATCATCTTTTTCTTCCAAAATGGAGGCCACGCTGCTCAAGCTGCTAATGCTGCCTCTCCTCGAGCCCATCCCACTGCTACCACCTCCTGCAGGCTGAGAGTGGGATTGACCAGGACTTCCAGGAACACACAGGGCCTCTCGGGTACCACTGATGAGCTTCTCTGTTAAAAACAAAAATTCACAAAGCTGACACACAATCCGTCTACTGAGTTTTCACAAATCTATTGTTTTTCCATGGTCCTGTTGATACTTACGGGCCAAAGGAAGTGGAACAAACTCCATGCACCTCCTACACATGATCGATCCACAGAGACGACAGTGGTGCCGCCTGTTTCGGATGTTGAACTTGTTCCCGCAATCAGGGCAGAACGGGACGTCGGAGTCATTCACCCAGGACACTACAGATTTCTCGATGGCTACAGACGCGGATGTAAATTCATTCTGCTTTAATAATTCTTCATGTAGATTTACACAAACAACTCATAACAGAAAAATACAAACCTCTGATCTTAGCAGAATCTGAGTTGGTTCTGTCAAACGCTGTCAACTGAAACATCAATTTTCATGGTAAATAGCTGCCACTGTTAAATGTGTTTAAAGTTTGTCTTCAGAAACAAGAGGAACATTATAGTTTGAATATAGTGCTTTGTAAACGCACCTTTTCCAGTCTGATGATCAGCTTGTTGACCTCGATGACATAATGATCAATCCGGGCTGCTCTGTGTTTCTTAAAGGAGTCCAGGTGACTTTTTGTTGCTCCTATGGAAATAAAAAAAGACATGTTCAATGTAAAAACAACCTTTTTATTGTCTTATACATTTTAACTATAATCACACATGTTCATGTTTTATTTGAAAAAAATAAATAAAAAGAGTCTCGTCTTACCCAGTTCCTGAGGTTCCCACATATATGGGTCCACTCCTCCGTAATAGAAGGACTCATAACTGCCAGCATCCTGTCTGTCATCTCCATCTCTTTTCAACAGTTTATCTTTTGCTTTCTTTGCTTTTTGAACCAAACCTTAAAAAAGAACATGAAAAATGATTGAAGGAAATCACTGAAACATTTTGTCAAACACATCCAAGAACCTGTAAATGCATGCAATCTATTTAATAGTCAACTTACGTTTCTAAAAACCTGTTTTTGTTCCAACTCAGCAGTAACATCAAAGCTTGGACTACACTCAAACACTTCACAATTAATTAGACAAACTAATAAAAAGGTTTTATATTTAACAAAACTGACCCTTAAATGCACAGCACCTAAATAAAACAGAGTGTGCGCAATTGAGTTAGTTTAGCAAAGCCAAGAGGAAATAAAAACAGAATATTTTTTTTATTTCAATTGTGATGAGAAATTCTGACCACAGAAACAAACAAGCATAAAACAGTTTCTGAGTTTGAGGGCAAGTTCAGAACTGAACACCATCAAACACACATCAGTACTGAGGTTTGATTATTGACCTTAGCTTGGAGCAACATTTAAACCCTACAGCATCAAGGTGAAATTACTGGTGAATTAAAATCACAGAATTTCTTCTTTCAAACCTATTTCTAAACAAGAACTGTTTATGATCTTTGTGTTCAGAGCACTGAATTGTGTATATTGATGCTGAAGTTCAAGACGGGATGATCCTATTTTTTAAAGTGCTTTTGCAGCTTTTTAAAGTTATTTTGCTAATTGCACAGATCATTTTAAAACAATTATTATAAGACAGATCTATAAAAATATACATGGATTTTTTTTGCATTATAAAATACTTCAGAGATTTTTTTCTGATGCTGTGGAGCCTGACTTACTTTTAATCTGCCCTCTGATCTGACGATCATCTGAGTGCTCCTCCTCGTAGTGTCCTTGGAGTTGGAAGAACGACTGGAGGTCCTTCAGGCACAGCGGGCACAGAAAACCCTCCTTCACTTCACCTGCACCCTCAAAGGTGGGAGGGTAACCAGAGGCCATGTTGACAGCAGGAGGTTCTGTTGTTTAGGAGGAGGTGCAAGATGGCATGATCCTGATCGGACCAACATGCCTCAGGGTCTGTAAAGAACCCCTCACTTCCTCCATAACAGCTGGAAAACCAAATAACAAAAATGAGAAAGTCTAGAGTGAAGAGCGGGACAAATCAGACTGCCAACTATTGATGTCTAAACTAAAAGTTGCAACTAAAAAAACTCATACAAAAGTCACAACACAGATGGGTTCTGGCTGCACAATTCCCAGCACCGGTAGTCAGAGAGATGGGTGATTTGAGTGTTGGTGCATCGTGTTAAAAAGCGGATCAGGCTCAAATATATTATAACTTTATCTAACCTATTTATTTCTCACGATCTTTTAAGTATTTCACAATCTTTAAGTATTAAAGTTAAAGACAAACACCCACTTTGCTGCAATTACATAATAAATAATTTCCAAAGATGAAAAAGATTAAGATGTTGCATTTATATCTCGTGCATACACACGGTTCATTGAGATCAGGTGTCACATTAACCAGCTATAGTTATTGTAACAGTTTGTTTTTGTGCTTATGGGTAATACAACGTATGCTGCCTTATTACAATCTAATTTATCTAAAAATGTAATTTGTTTGTTTTTGTTAATGTTGTGTCTAACTTTGCCCATGGTTTTACGTTACGCGCTAGCGGGAAAATGCTAACCTTTAGCTTCTGCTGTTTCTCTGAACGCCCGATTCAAACACGATAATATTTTACAACCACACATAAATATATACTTACCCACTTCTTAACACTGATCATTTATATGCTTCAAATGTGTCTGACAACAACGGTGCTATTTACAGTTTGGCTTTTTCTTTTTGACAGCTCGACAACAGAAGCAGCAGATCAACCATTACAACCGCACCTGGTCATGTGATCAGCTTTTCGTCCTACGGGAAGAGAGAAGGGACAAACGGCAGGAAGCAAACGCGACCATAAAAATAAAAATCATAAAAACAGCATAAAAATCTGCGATCTTATACATGCTTATTATCTAAATTACAAATATTAGAAGATAGTACTTTTAAATTAGGGTAAATAGTGTTTGTTAGATGACCGAATATTTTGGCTAAACAGTTTTTGCCAAATCATAAAGTGCTATCAGTCATTTGTGCAAAATTCTTTGACACTAATACAAAACTGTTTATCAAAGGATGCTTAGTGGTCACTTCCTTTTCTTAATCATTACTTCAAAATATGTGATTCTCTGTAGTATTTATACAGTATATCCCTGGCTCCCAATTTTAGTAAATGACATCAATGGTAAAAGACAAGTCCAGATTTTGAGTTATTTTTAAACTGAACATAGTAGCTCTATTTCACCAAATTAGTAATGTGAACCCATGCTTTGGGTAAAAATAAAAATAAAAATAAAAATTAACCCAGTGTGCTGGATCAAACAGATGACCCTGCTTAGTTAAAAATGAACCATACTGGCAGTGCCTAAATTTGACCCATGGATTCATTCATTCATTCATTCATTCATTCATTCATTCATTCATTCATTCATTCATTCATTCATTCATTCATTAACTTAGCAGTTGTTGATGTGCTACTGACATCTCAGTCCTCAAAGACTAGGAGTTATGTTCTTTTCAAATCAATAAAAATAAAACTCATAAAAACAAACGAGAAAAAGTGGATTGATGCTGCTATTATGTATATATATTTTTTCATCATGTTTCTACAATTTATTTATTTATTTATTGAAGGTAGAAAATCAGTCTTTGATTCAATTACTCATATCCAGACCAACAACCTGTGATGAGGGCTTGCCTGTGTGCATCTTAAATACCTTTTAGTAAATAAGAACCTAATTGAATTCCATGTAATTTTAAAGCTTCTGTAATTTTAAAGTGTCTGTTAAGGACACGAACAAACAGAAAAACCCTGAAATCACAATTTTGCCACTTTTTGTTTAATATGCGTCTGAAAATTTTCTGTTTTATATAACCTCCATAATTTAGCTGTGTGTTCACAAACCTCCAAACTCAAGTCTCAGAGTCATTATTTCTCCTTCTACAATTGCTTTATGATTAATTTGCTCAATGATCCGGTCTGGCAGCTGAGCAGGAGGATCTGATGGAATGAGACAAGTTAAGCAACCCAGAAGATTTTTGTGGATCAACACCTGTTTGCTTTTTGACAGCATTGATCAAAAATACTGATTACTCTTTCGGACATGCTAATTAAACCAGCAGATAAATAAAACATAAATAAAACACTGTATTTACTGCAGCCCACTGGATTTGTAATATGTATTTATATAATCTATGAGGGAAAAATCAATGACACACTTCATTTGCTGTAGACTTCTTTATATTTGATGTAAGCAGTAGAAAATAAAAACACAAATCAACCAATATAAGATTTTTTTTTTTTGCTTCAAGCGTGACCAGCACCTCCTCTCCATCACAAGTGAGTTGCCTCACAGAGGCAACGTCGCTGAAGCCAATATTGTAATAATCCTACGATTTGGTGTAAACACAAATATTCTAATGAACATAATAAGTCGTAAAATAGTCAAAGAAAGAAAGACATATGAATAAACATGTGATACCGACTCTTGGTAAACCGTATGTACAGCAAAGTTCCCGGTTTGGAGAAACAATTACGCACAAGCGCTCCAAAGGAAATATCAGATAAATATAGGCTACTATAACTCAGATAAAATTCTCTTATTTTATTCATTCATATACATTTTTCTTCTTCGGTAAATTAGAGCAGACTTTTTGTTCACTCTCCTTCTAAATCTTCCTCAGGCGCAAACCTTTTCCCCGGGTGCTGCCTCTTCTCCTCGGCGTGACTCTTGATGTTGTCCAGAAAGTCGAGCAGCAGGCTGGTCTTACTGCAGCTGTCAGGGTCCAAAACATCACACGGGCTGCCGGTGCTTAATTCCGGGCTGCCGTTATCCCATAATCGTTTCCCGGGGTGCTGGCGCTTCTCCAACTCAGCGAAGTCTTCATCTGCGTCCGCGTTCCAGTCACTGTCCCCGTCCTCGAGGTAACGCTTACCTGGATGCTGGCGCTTGCTGTGCATCACCAGGTACCGCTTGCCTGGGTGCTGCCGTTTGGACAGTTCACTGAGCAGACTGAGGGGGCTGTCAGAAAGCTGTCCTCCCGCCGCGGCGCGCTTTCCCGGGTGCTGTCTTTTCTGGAGCCCCGCGACGAAGGCGCGCACCTCGTCTTCGCGCTTGCCCGGGTGCTGCCTCCTCTGCACCTCCAGGAACTGCTCGTCCTCCTCTTCCTCCTCCTCTCTCCTGCCTGGATGCTGCCGCTTCTCGCTGAACCTCTTGCCGGGATGCTGTCGTTTTGTCACCCATTCAGGCTGAGAGAAAAGCCCTTCTGAAAACAACAGTTAGAGACTTCTTTAGTGTTCCACTGCTGAGCACGTATCTGCTGCAGTAAGGGTTTTCAGCGCTCTTCCGCTGCGTGCGTAAAGTGCGCATGAAGGACACTTTGTGCCATTATATTAAATACGTTGTTTAAAAAGCTCTACTGTTCAGTGTGTCTCCATAAAATGTAATTTACAACATGTTTTTGAAGTATTCATAGTTATCCTACTGGAAACCATCCATTAATGAAGCTCAACACCGGCAAGTTACCACCCTAACAAAATTATTACAGCAGGACATACGTTTAAAAATTCCCATAACAGTTTAAGACACCATCAAGTGGTAAATGCTAAAAGTATTTCCATTTTCCCTTAAAAAAATGCATCAAAAACCACGGGTTTTACGCACCGCTTGGACCGTTTCCATCCTGCAGCTTTTTGAGAATGGATCGCAACAGGAGGCTTTCTGCTCTCTGTAGGATGATGTCGTCTATGGTGGTCCCTCGGTCCGCCTCATCCTCAGCAGAGATGCCCTGTCCGTGCGACACCGTCAGGTAGCAGAGCGCGAGAGAAGCCACGATGAGCAGGCATGCCGACTTCATGGTAAAACACTTTGTTCGTCTGATGGAGAAACAGGGAACCCAAAGCGCAGGAATGAAAGAGATTTAAAGGGTTTAAAGAAGGATGTTTTATAAACTATTGTTGGTAGAATTGTTTTTTTCCGGATCAATAATCAAATGAAAAACTGGTGACGAATAAGTTATCTTGCATAATCTTCAAAATGAATGAATGTGCCATGAAAACGACAAAAGCAACATTTTGAAACTTATTAAAGCTGCACCAGGCTTACCAAAATAAATGCAAACGGTGCGCAATAAATCCGACGCGTCCTCTGAACTGCGCCAGACTCACCTGAGGAGTTTCCAGTTTCTCCCGGTTCTCCAGCCCCTGGCACCGCCGGCAGTGGTGACTGATGGTTGCCTTTCAGCTCCTCCCGCAGCGCTTGGTGACCCTTAAAGGCCAAGTCTGTAGGTATGAGCTGACAACTTCTCGGCTCTGCTTTTTATACACTTCCCAGTCACTGTCGTCATCCCGAACCCTGGAGTCATATTTCAGGATCCCTCGTCCACCCCATTGATGTCACCAAGTCGTGCGCAACTGGGTCTGGTGATAACTCGCCCTACAAGGCCTGCTTCCTTATTTGTCCACTGACAAACAAACAGAGATAATCACTTCATCATTTTTAACAATCTTTTCTTTTTTTTTTAGTACAGTACGGTTGTTTCGTTTTGTTTTTATTTATTTTAGATGCAATCTAAAGTTTGATTGATGTGTCAGTTTTCAAACGTGTCTCCAGGTTTCCAGTATTTTTTTTTTATAGCTGTTTACCTCAAAGGGAAAAAGTCTAAAAGACTGCAGCGATGTGATGAAGACTACACCTATTTTTCATCAATACCCTAAAGTCACAAGAAACAGGAGGGAGAGCTGGATCCATCTGGCTCTTCAGCACACAGCCAGCACTTTCTGGTCACGATGCTTCTCTGCTCAGTGTAGGCAGGGGCTGCACATTTAGCTTCACACAACTTCTTCAAGTTATTATTCTTTCAGTTTTAACTAAAAGCTGTTTTTAGTGCATAATGTTCAGACACAGAGCAGGTGGACCACTGTGGAATGGCCACAAAAACATTAAGCATAAAAGCAAACATTGTTTTTGAGCAATTAGGACCCCCAAATCCCATTTAAAAAATGCATAAAGACAAAATCATTTTAATTTATAAAATGTTTCAACTCATTTAGTTCAAATTAGCATCAAAACATCATGTCCGTTGTCAAAGTTAAAATGTCATGTTGTCAGTTTGTTTGACTTAAAGAAATGTCTCAAAATGTTGAATCAGAGACAATAAAAGACACGAGAAGTGTTGAGTGATGCCAGAAAGTATGGAAGCCCATTTCCGCCACACTGATAAAAAAATAAAACTTGTATCTCATAATTATGAGATAGTATCTCATAATTATGAGATAGCTAAGTCATAATTATGAGATACTATCTCATAATTATGAGATATCTCATAATTATGAGATAGCTAAGTCATAATATGAGATACTATCTCATAATTATGAGATATCTCATAATTATGAGATAGCTAAGTCATAATATGAGATACTATCTCATAATTATGACTTATCTATCTCATAATTATGAGATATCTCATAATTATTAGATAGTATCTCACAATTATGAGATGTCTCATAATTATGAGACACTATCTCATAATAATGAGACAGCTAAGTCATAATTATGAGATACGAGTTTTATTTTTTTATCAGGGTGGCGGAAATGGGCTTCCATAAGAAGGAGCTTAGGTTTGAAAAAAAAAAAAAAAACTTACTGACTGACAAAAGTCAGTAAAATGATTTGATTTGAAAAGTTCATTTTAGTTATAGTTCTTAAAGGAGTGGCTCAACCTTCATTTAAGATGTTTACATCACTTCATTGAGAACTCTCAGACATAATGAACAATGTTGAACATTTCAATATTTTGAGAACTGATCAAACAAACTAGTCCTAATTTAAAATCCCTGCTTGTCAGTGAACAGAATTAATTGCAAAGGCAAATTAAACAGAGTCACTCACAAACCCTGTCACGACTTTCACTTCATGCAGGGCACAATAAAGACAAAGTGACCTGAAGGGTAAACAGGTTCTGTGCTTTTTAAAATTCAAACGTTCAAAAACAAACATATGCCATGAAGGACCCCCCCCCCCACCACCACCACCACACACACACACACATACAGCTGAACAATTTAAACCAGTTTAAGTTTAATGAACAACACAGACACATTTTGCACAGAATGAAACTCGTGGGATCTTGGTGAGAGTCCAAAAGTCAAACTGGTCTTCCTGCTGTTCAGACTGGTTACCTGATGCAAATATTTTATGCTGAATGAAACAAAATACACACTAAAAATGAAAAAATATAGCATAACAACCCCATTTACACAAAAAGTCAGAATTAAAAATATAATTATTTTGAAACTTGAAACCATAAAAAATTCTGAAACATTAAAAATATTTTTTCTTTGAATATATGTCTGACTCATTTATTTTATTTTATTTTATTTTATTTTATTTTATTTTATTTTATTTTTACAGCAAACATCAGTTTTATTGAGTACTGAAGATGAGAGCTGATGTTTTCTGCAGATAATTTTTCCCCATGGTTTTCTCGTTATCACGATATAATATGATGTAGCCATATCGTTATCATAAAATTGATATATTATCACAAAATAAGGATGAGCACATTCTAGTGCATCATTCGGGAACCATGGAGACGGCCTGGTCCCAGTCGGGCCAACCGTCTCCTTAAATGCCGAGCACTGATATGAAAGTCATCTGAACAAGACGAACAAACTGCACTTTCAGTCTGTGTTGTGATAGTAAACTTCATCGGTGAGAGGACCAGGCCGTCTCCATGGTTACTGGATGATGCACAAGAGTAAAACCATAACTCATTATCTCAAGAAAACCACAGGAAAAAATATTTATGGAAAACGTCAACTCTCGGCTTCCGTAAATTGAAAGCTTGTGTAAAAAAAACATTTTTAAAATCTTTGAACCATTGTTGTTTTTCCATGAGAAATATTACAATAATTTTGTAAATAAAGTGTTTCAGGCTGCGCTGGAAGTGCTACATCTTGCTGCTGCTGCTGCTAAAAATGCACTGAATCTTGTAACGCAAAACTGAAAAAGACTGGAACCATTTAAACAACATTTTCATGAACCATTATAAAGTTTTGAGATTGGAGATGTTTTAAGAAGACAGAGTTCACTTTGCTCACTTTTCCACTCAGAACATTTTGATGTTCTGGTAAATCATGTGGTCAAATGTATACAGCATATACCAATATTGTTTATGTATAGCCTAAAACAATGCTATATATATA